TCTTTTTCTCTGTACTCGGTGCTCACGGTACTCGTCGGAACCGTCTTCTTGTGTACTCTCTGAAATTCTGTATCTATCTGAATTCCTTGGAATGAAATCACTCATTCAAAATGAAGAAACATTCGCGAAGCTATGGTGAAAATATCATCACTCGGAATCTCGGAATCAGGTGAATGATTCATTCGATTAGAGTGCATTAGTTCCTGTATCGCGGGGAACACCAGACATTTCGCTCTTCTATTTTGAACGAAGATATTCGCTTCATGATTCAGAATGCAGAATTTACTTCAATCCGAGTGACTCGGCTATTATTCCATTCTTTGAGCGAAGTTTCACCCGAAGAATCTTAGAGAGTACGATTTCGTATACGCTATCATGGACACTGTTTTTTTCCCATATTCAATCAGTCAGGTTCGGAGTGCTCGATCGGTGGAGAGCACGTCGCCTATAAACGTCAAATTGAATAACGAAAGCCGCACCTTGGCTCTATTTGGAAAGAGAAAGAGAGGAAGAAAGCGCGCCGGAGAAAGGTCCGAAACGCGAAACATCTGGTAGCAATCAACGCGAGCCGCATCTTCGCAATGTCGGCAGATCGCGAGAAAGAGAGAGAAACTAAGGGGAGGGGGGCGATGAAAAAGCAGATTAAGAAGTGCCGTTGAGCTCGGAGCGCGGTAAAAAAAGGACGAACGGGCGACTCGGTCTGCCGGAGGATGCGCGAAAGGGAGGAATGCGTCAGCGGTGAAAGGTCCGTCTGGAGAGGCCAGTCCTCTCTTCATTCCGACGAATATTGCGCTCGCTGATTTCCGCGCGATGACCAAAGAGAAAGACAGTGAGAAAGAGGGGGGGGGGGGNACGACCTACAAATTATCCTACACACGTAGTACGTAAAGGAACGAAAGGCCAACCAGGAAGCGACCTTTCGCACCACCCTCGTAACCGCAGATTGTTAAGTCGCATCGACGCACAAGACGCTCGACGCGCACAAAACGTGGCCAAGGGCCATTGCTTTGTTTACGCGTCGTAGATTACGACTGTTAGAACAAGACACGTCGCGAGACGCGTGCGTTAACTGTTGTAAAAATTAATTGTATCGACGCAGCATCGATTTCGTATCGACATTTTCCAAAAAGAGTTACCCGGAGGTGTTCATGCACATAGGGTTAAGCTTCGTTCAATTTCACGATCTATAGTCGCCGCATAAGACGTTCTAATGTCTTCCGATAGCTCCCAGCACCCATGGCGAGCACCCTCGTTCACCTTTCGCGCGCGACCTTTGCGTGCGATCTTTTTGTCTCGGGGGCGATTGTTGCTAGGCGATCGTGGCGCCGATTGACGACCGAGTCCGTGAAATTTGCCATTAGAGATGCAAAATGAATCTTCAACGGCCGGTAAATGGTTAAACGACAGACAGGGTTTCGATTCAAAGAAATCCTAGTAGGAAATTGAACCTCGCAGATGTCCAACCATGAGATAGTAAATTTGTGTTTAACGTCTCTCTACTAGCCGATAATGTGACGCTCACTTCTGCTTTCGTAAGATTTTTATGGAATAATCCACCGTCCAATTTCAATTTGCTACTTCATTTTTAAATATTAGTAGCGTATATTATATATAGTACTTAGATTATATATTTTAGAATAGACAACGTCGTCTGCTCTGTCATATTTGACATGTAATGGCTAGATTACTGAACTATTCCACATTTTAATGAACAATCGGCTACTAATAAACTAGTAATGAGCTAGGAAATTTAATTTAGCTTGTATTAGGTAGCTACTAGCTTCTGACTCAGGCCGACTAGCCATTTCTATTCGGGAAGAGGGTCACAACCACTCCCGATTACTCGGCCCTCGGGAGATTTAGTTTAGACATTAACGTCCGCGCACGCTTTTCGAGAGGCATCGAACTCGCCGGCAGACGTCGGCTATGCGTGACGGGAATGACACGGCGCGTCGTCACATTGTCTTAGCGTCATAGACGCGCGTTAAAGTCTTTGCCGCGCGATATCGTGGATGCGCATCACGCGCGCACCTCCGGTCGTAAAGGAAGACACTCCGCGACGACTTGCGCCACCGGCCGCAATTTTTTTCCTAATCGGCTCTAACCAGCGGAACGATATGGAGAAAGCGGGGAGCAGGAGTGACCTGCGGAAAAAGCCGCGCGTTTGCCGGAGGGGAACGCGCGCTCTCGCATTCTGGAGTAAGTAGATAATTCTGGCATAATATGTCCCGCGTGCCGGGGAAGAACAGGGGAATGCCGTCGAGGGGGCTATAGCGTGTGGCGACGTCTCGCTATGTGAAAATTACGCGAGCACGAGAACGATAATCGCCGGTAATACGCCTCTCACATACGAATGCGGTCTTATTTATGGCTCCCGTCCGTCGTTATCCGGCCTCCCCCCCTCCCCCCTCCTCCGTGGGGGCCCGACTCTCACCGATCGTGTCGCTGTTAGGAGAGACCGGGTCAGGTCAAGTTGTCACACTCTTCAGAGCTTGAAACTAGAATTTGAATTTATAGACGATAGAATCTCGAATTCGAACTTTTCGGACAACTAATCGTTGCAATCGACTGATAAATCGACTATATATAAAATACGTATGACGTGTGTCTTGAAAAATGTTTCATAGTTGAAAACTATATTGCAAAAATGCGGCTTGCTATCGCTGTTTTTTGCCGTCAGAGAAAAGTGCAAGAATATATATTTGATGGCCAGAATATAATGATAATAAAATTGTTGTTTTTGTTTCAATGAAACTCAGAGAAAAGTACTTATGTATGAAGAAGATTTGTTATATTAAGAATATTGAGTGGTTTTGGCCCACCCCATATATAAACGAAACACATGGCCAACCTACCTCGGCCTCCCCAATTAGAAATCCACCTCGTCACCTGTGTCGTCATTCTTAATCGGTAACAATTAAAAGAATTCAACGGTTCAAAGAATCTGTCGTGTTAAGGACATACGTTAACTTTGGGACTCTCTGTATAAACGAAAAACACGGCCACACCTGCCTCGGCCTCTCCTAGTAGAAATCCACTTCGTCATCTGTGCCGTCGTTCTTAATCGATAACAATTAAAAAAATTCAATGGTCTCTGTGCGGTTGCGAATTCGCGAGTGTTGCTTCCTACAGCTACCCTCTTTTCTCCTCTTTTTCCCCGCCTGCTCGTTCAATCTTCGCATCCGCCGTATCGTAGAGCGACCACCGCAGCCGTGCGTGATGAGCATACGCACATGCGTGCGGCGTGGTAGTCTTTCCTGCATAAGCACAAATAAAGATAGATAAGGGCGGTCTGTACATCATAGGGACCGCCGCGTGGCGAGAGGGAAAAAAGGGGGCCCGGCAGGACCCCGGCAAGGGCGGAGATCTTCGCGCTAGATTGGCGCGCAGACCCCTTTGCTCGCGCGGCGAGAACGCATCCATCGCGGCGCGCATTTACGCGAGGGCGGCGAGCACGCGCGCGTACGTTGAGAACGTGTCGGATTGTCGTAACGGAGCTCCACACGCACCCTGAATTGGAAATCTACGTGGAAGCTGCGGGCGGACGGATAATGATTTTAACACGTACCTCAGATGTTGGTCGGATAGAACTAGTACCGCGCCGGGAAAGGACTTGGCGTCTCGGCATTGAAAGGTACAATGCCGTATCCGAGAAGTCGGAGCAATCGGAGGAATGAGAAGTAAGCGCGTTTGGCATATTTACTTGATTGTAACGGATCAGAGTTTCAATGCAGAAATATCACATCGTTGTATGCAACAAAGAAAAATTCTAATTAAGGATGTATCGCCCACTAGTGCCGTATTTTCAGTGGCGCATCAAGAGGACCGCTCATAAACTTAGTATTTATCAAGCAAAATAACGTTCTTATATTTATTTCACTATTTAAATAAATGTTAATTTGAAACGAAGTTGAAGTATATATATATGTGCAATATTACAAATACGAGGATATTATTTTTTATTTTTCTTATTAAATGCAATGTAAAGATAAATTTGCAATTTTCCCATAATTTTGCCAGTAATTTGAGTTATGGACGATACATCCTTAAGTATTACATCGTTATAACGAAGAGAAAACGCGCTTCGTTATTCTATTTATTTTGACTTGAAGATATTTGTGCCGCTAATTATGGAAGTGACGTAAGTGCGGTTTGGAAAAAAAAAAATCAATAATTCGGTCGCTACGTCTACAAATCATCGTGAATTTATTTTGGAAACGAGATTTTTCCTCAGCAAAAGAGAAAGAGGGCGACTTATACTATTTAAAGAGATTGTTTTACTAATATTTGGTTTATCAATATTTAGAAGTAGGGAACACGGTAGAGCTCAGTAAATGTAGTATTTCACATTCGGAAAGCGCAAGTTTGAAAATAATCACACAGGATACACGGTGTTTCTGGATGACGTCTATGATTTTCCCCTAATTGCCGTGTAACTCGATTGTTCCATCAAAGGTAAATAGCCTGACTTTCGAATTCCATGCTAATTTGACTCGCTTGCGAGACGCCCCGGAGTCACAAAACGACACGAGGCACGCGTCGGGAATTCGTTTGTTTTCGAATCTGGAAATAGAAGCCGCGGCCTTCTAGGAACATACATCTGAAATCTCTCGGAAGATCTATCCGGGACTCCAGTTATAAATCACACGAGCGAGCATATTAAGGATTCGAAGGAAACGTAACAACTAACGATCTTTTTGTCGCTCGGTTTTCTATTTCTGCTGTCATTTGCGTTCCTAGCCGCTACAAAGAGCTATCTTGGGAGAGCTGGACTAATAACTGAACCAGGCCGCGATCGTTTGTTTTTATTCGCACATATCGCTTATTTTGTTAAACGCTTTCCATAACACCTCCCCCACACGACGCGGTTGGTATTTTCAAGAATTACGAACGTAAAGTGCGTATGTGCGATCTATAGTGCGTTTTCCCGCGTTAGAAATTAATAACAAGTCGCTTAAAGCTCCAGTTGGCCCAATAGTTGTCTCAATACTTGTACTTACCATAATCGGACCTCCATCTCTTCTCGAGGCTGAAACAGTGGCGCCAAACCACTGCAACGTCTTGTTATCGATAGGACTCAAACCGCTAATCACATGTGGATTTTTCACATAGTTTTGTCCTGCAACAAGAAAGTTTTCCCCTCGATCAGCATTACGTCCATTTCGACAATTAATTGTTTTAATTTACATTCTTAATTTACATATAAATTAAATTATATGAAAAAATAACTACGATAAAAAAAAATATATATCAATACGAAATATTCATTGATCTAGTGTCGGAAAATAGTGGAGAAACTACCGAAGGAATGATTCGATTCTTTTATACATCGACCTAATAGGATCGACCTTGCAATTATCGTTCGGTGATCTCGCGAGAAGAATCGCTGACAGATGTCACGGTGTAAAAAAGTCTTAAGTGCACCCTGAGCTTTTCTTGATCGGTTTTACGAACAGAGCGAACCCGTTAGCCCGTATCGGTCGGCTTTGGTCCTTAAAGGGAAGTTGTCCTTCGCCTGCCAACCCTTACCGGACCATCACGACCGGGAAGTGTACGGCAGGCGATCCCGGTCTCAGTCTCGGATTCCGGTATTAATTTTCACCGAAACCACTCGCGACAATTACTATCATCATCTACGGCGTAACAGTCTATATTCTCCACTCAATAAAACCACGTCCGTGTATCAATCAGAACTTAATTATAAAGTAAAAAAAGACCGACTCAGGATTTCATTAAATTATAGACCGAGATACGTATCGCGTAATCGTTCGGTTACGATCGTCACGATCGACATGGCTCTCCGCATCTCATTAGCGAACCAATTAAGGCGGTGATGATTGGACGATTTCGAACGCGACGGGGGAGAGGGGGGGAGGGGATGCCGCCGGGCTTCAGAAATTGGCTTTCCGGTAGCACGCGACAAAAAAACACCGAACCTCGGAGCAGGCAGGGCTAGGGCAGAACGGCCTTACGGTTTTCTGTATTAGGCATCGTCGGCTTCTTGCAGCCCGCACGGTTCTCGGTATCTTCGGGCAGTGCGCCGTGGCACTCTCCGACGGGCAGGGTATACGCGGCGAGAGGAGTTCCTCGAGACGTCTCCGAGTACCCGAAGAGTGAGTGACCTCGGGGACCTGCGCGAGATCTCCGAGTCGCTTCCTCGTACGCAGGTAGAATCGACGATACGCGATCGAGGAGATCGCGTTTGGCACTGGGACGTGCCGCAGGTGGAGCAGCGAGATACGCCGCGAATAAGGATCGAAAGCGAGAGAGACGTCGCGGCAGCCCGTCGACTTTCAGCGACGAGGAATCGATCCTCTCTTCTGCATTTTAATCGGGATCCCTTCCGATATCGTATCACTAACTTTAAGGGTTTCTTCAGTTGCACGAAGATAATAACGCAATCGGGATTTTGTGAAATAGTGTAAAGTTATACTGTAGTGAGTCACTGAAGAGAGTCAGTGACCGAAAATAAAAATAGAAATCAAATTAGCGCTCATTTGATTGAACACTTCGACAGAATCTATAAATATGCACGTCTTGAAACGTCTGGCCTGCGTTAAATACACGTGAATAATTCAGTCGAGAAAATTTGCGCACTAATAATCGCTGTAAGGCTTTTCTATTCGCCAATTCCTTTTCCAATCGATCCGGAGTTCTGCTCGCTCGGGAAGCGTATGAACAACGCAAAGGAAACTCGGACGGCTTCGTCGGGTAAACCGTGGCTAAAGTTAGGCGTTCCCTACGAATCGGCGATTGTTGCGAGTCGTTCGTCGAAGTAATAATAATATTGTTCTCGTCGAGGCTCCATCGCGCGCGCGAAAGCGGACGGCGCGCGGCTGCTATTTTCGCAGGCGAGTCCGTGCGCGAGGTTTCAGCGACACTGTAAATCCGGACGCTGGCTGAACCCACCACTATTTTAAACCGTGACAGTGCGCGCGAAAAGAAATACGAACTCGTAAAGTGGTGTTCTCTCGCGGTGGACCGGCGTGATTTTACGTAATCTTTCTCTTTTCCCGATCCCGATATTGAATATCGTTATTTACGTATTCGGGTGGCTGGGACACGCGTTGTAGAACAGCCTTCCTGGGTTGAAATCTTGGCCCTATGTAAAATTTTTAATTCTATAACATAGTAGGAGTTAAAATAGCAAAATAAGTTCAATTTCAATTCTAATAGTATAATCATACGTCTTATACTTTGACCCTGATAATATCTTAAATTTTCGCCGTTTTAGTATCAAAATAGCTTGTTAAAGATAATATTAAAATTCAATCTGTAGAATTACAGGTTCAAAAGAGAAATTAAAAAATGTCGGTATCGTCAAGGAAGGTTTTTATCAGTCTACAGGCCGTCTAAGTAGACGCGAACTATCCTTAAGAGCGTCTAAGTAGCATCATTTACGTCAGCCTTAGGATCTCAGCAAAATAGTTGACTTATAATTTTAAGACAATGTTTCATGCCCTAAATATTTATCGAAATTATCATTTGTTTAATTTTTCCCTCTTATACAACAGTCTATCATCATTCACAAACAGAATGGCTCTTTAGTTAAAGACTGAAGGCACAAGGCAGTCATTGTGCATTACTAAAAGACAAAGACTTAAGGCATAAAACATTATCTTAAACCGATAATGTTCTCCATTCTGCCGAGGCCCTTCCGAGGAAGAGTGGATAACGAGAAATCTCGCGTGACTCGTGCCTTGCACGCGTGCAAAAGACGGGCGGACCCGGTTGCCGGATGATTCCATCGTCACGCGTGCTCTCGAGGAAATCGCGAATGTAACAGAGTGCAGCCGTCGACTACCGGGTACGATCCTAATTGGACAAGATCGAGGCACGATAGAGCATAGGATCGGTCTAATTATCGATCAAAGCCAAGTGTTTGCTCGCGCGGCCGTGTAGCGCCGGCTATGGCACCGGAGAGTCGACTAATTGGATGTACAACTCGAGATCTTCTTGTGTGCGCAGCCGGACGAAAACGTTTCTTCTGCCGTGCGAAAGAACGCGATGACGACGACGACGACGAGTCCGGAAAAACGAAGGAAGGGGCGAAAACACGGGTGAGAGAGCGAAGAACGAGGAGGGAGGGAGGGAGAGAGAGAGAGAGGCGCTGATACCGTTTCTTATAAGAAGCGGATAAGATCGTTGCGTATGTACGTAAATCGACGAGGCGAGGTAGAAAAGGAAACCACATTTTATAATGGAACGCATACGTTGCCAATACCGTATCCTTTCCCGTGATATATAGTTACAAACTGTACTGGTAATTGCGCTCTCTAGCCGCGGTTTATCTACCCGCGTTATTCTATTCTCTTTCTCCCCTCTTCTCTCTCTCTCTCTCTCTCTCTCTCTCTTCCTCTTCTTCGATCGAATAAACCGCGTATGCACCGAAAAGAAAGAAACGCGTCTCGACCGCTTCTCCTTGCACCGATTTCGCGTTGCCGACTGATCACGCTCGCGCTCCATTTACTAGATAATACAACATCAAATCAGCGATCGCGGCTCGGCCGTGATTTCTCGTCAATCGTGCGCGATCATTCTTCCCATCTCTCTCTCTCTCTCTCTCTCTCTCTCTCTCTCTCTTTTTTTCTTCGTCTTTCTTGGGCTAGCGGAATGCCGGCAACGCGCAATATAGTGTATTATATTGTGCGAGCGTGAAGCGGAACGGCGAATCGCCGCCGATTGTCGAGATTACGAGGTGTGTAACCGCGTCTAATTCACACCACGAGTTTATCCCGCTAATTTGCATTAGCGCGCCCGATTCGCGTGCGCGCGTGTGTGTGTTTACGAGCACTCGCACGATCGCGCGATGCGGGTAATATTTTTAACCGCCGCTTACCGGGAACTTTATGATACGGCCATGTACTTTAAACGCGGCCACTTTAATTGGTTCGCGCGCGTTATTTCTCCGCGGGACTTTACGCAACGTTTCCCCGCGGATTTATGAACCGAATACCGGCACGTACACACATATACACCGGCGCGAGTTCTCTCTCGCGGATAGAGCGCGCGAATTTACACCGCTAATCGGATTCGTTAGGGATATTTCCCCGACGGCGTTTAAACAGCCCTACGTTGCGGTGGAAGCTAATTAATCGACACACTTGTGTGATTCCCAGGAAACTACCGCCTGTTTCAACGAGGAACTTGGGGAGATCTCGAGCGAGCTTCTGGTCATCTGAATAATTTTCCCGCTTAAGGTGTCGAATTTGTGCAGATCACGCGGGCATTGAGAAAATGCCTTGTCCAGGTGCTCGAGAAAGAATGTCGCGATTTTGACGTGTGCTTCGCGTGTGAGTCAGGCCCGATAAATCGCACCCGATAAGTGCCGCGCGGCAATTGCGCCCAAAGCTTCGAAATTGGTAGGGTCAACGACAGGATAGGTGTATTGGCACTGACTAAGAATAGCGCGTTCTATAACCAGTTGGCCAGTTACTTCGCGCTTCTCGAGATTATGAAGCTACGCTGGCGGAGCTGCGACGGCGGAGGGAAGGTAGAATGTGGGTCAAATGCTCGACGGGCTGGAGAGAACCCGAGGCGGAAATATCTTATTAGCATCTTTCGACGCCCCCGATAAACGCAGGGTGGTCAAAAAGTATCATCGTCGTCCGGCGAGAAATATCGAAACGATACGAATTCGACCGTCGTCGATTCTCTCTCTTCGGGGGAGGGGGTGGGGGCGTGCGACAGGTAGAAAGAGAATCCACCGGCGGCGTCTGTTTCAGCGACTCCGCTTATTAGATTTCAAAGGTAGTCCCGACTTCCATCGCGATGAGATAATTCAATGAGCCAATTATCTAATCGGCCGTGCGGTTAACAGCGATATAGACGGCGCTCTTCGCAATTAGCATCGAGCACTACCGTGCCGCCGTACCCTTCGATTGTCTCCGCGAATCCCCCCGAGCGAATACCGAAACCGGTCCCGCGCGATTCTGCATCGTGAATCACGGGGATCGTTCCAGACCGACGAGGGAGGGAGTGAACGCAGGAGGAGAGAGAGAGAGAGGGAAAGAGCGAGCCGGATTTTTCTTCGAAGAATGTCAGCAAGTTGCGAGGAGGCGCGACTAATTAGCGAATTCGATCACCAGCATTACACTGGATTAGTACAATAAAGGCCGCTACAAAGAAAAAAAAAAGCTAAAATCAGGTAATTACCTGTTTTTCAGCCTCTTAAACTCAAGTTATATTTTTATATAGTTTAAGTATATTTTAATAGCTTGTAATAAATATTCACTTAAACGCAATAATACGTGAATAAGTGACTTAATTCATAAATGAATTACAGAACGTAAGTGTAAAATGGTTCTAAGTTTAACTCTTCGTTAGTCGCAAACGTATTCTATAGATACGTCCAGGCTACAACGTATCGCCGTTGTTATACGGTCTCAAGGTCGAACTTGTCTTTGTCAATTCTTCTTTGTTTTCTTTGTTCTTCATTGTTTTTTTTATGCACTTTGGTGTCGGGCCTATTAGCCAAATGCTAATGAAAGAAAAATCTTTTCAAAAGGCAGAGGAAAATAATGAGAAAATTGGTATATCTGTAAGATACATTGCGACTATTCATGGGTGAAAAATATTACGACTAACGTAGAGTTAAAAGAATATTTATCAGAATTATGTAATAGTTAAAAGAATATTTATCAGAATTATGTAGTACTTCTTTTCCATTGAAGAAATCTAGTGTTTTTTAAATTTAGATTTTCTATCCAGTAAATATATATTTTTTTAAATAAATTCTTATATTCTCAGTACTGTGAATTTAATACTTGTCGCAATTGTTTTAATCCATACAAATAAATGTCTACTTACACGAAGGAAATATATATACAATCAATTATATTTCTACTTCTGATAAGAAATAATTAATGTTCTGTTAAACGACGCTACGACATCGTTATCAAGCGCTTAATCGTACAAAATGCTCATATGCTTGTTTATTTAAATAAGTGCTTCATACGTAGCAGCGCTCAGCATACGCCAATCTGGTACAGTGCGGACGATCGAATTCGTTACAAAGGGCAGCGGGGTCGCAGTGACTCGAGATCGGATGCTCAATTAGTCGGCCGATGAATCGTCAATTATGTCACATGCGATCGAGCGTGCGGCATCCCGCGGCGCCGCCGCGTTACCTCGTGCGGGCGCGTCTCAGCGCCGACGGCGGAGCTGCCGCGCGGATCTAAATCGGTTCGAGATCAGTGGCAGTCGGAATGAGAACTCGCCAGATTCACTTCCGCTCGGGCACGATGTTTGTCCGCGCGACCGTGCCCCACGTTCGTTCGGTACTATTTTCAATCAAAGGAACCCGGCCCGCTGTCAGTCGCTGATAAAAGTGTGTGCCACGTTCGCGCGAGCCGCTCTCTCGCTCTTGTCCGTTTGGCACATTCGGCGGCGCGGCCTACTGCGATCGAGTTCTCTGTTCTCAGACGGGGGGAACCCGAGAGTCGGGGGAGAAAGTATTTATGCCCGGGCCGACTGGGAAGACCCTGGAGAGTCATCTCCAATCGAAACCGAGATAATAACCCGCTTACCTTTATCGTCGAAGTGAATTACGTTACATCTGTCGTCAGCGGCGATGTCGCATTTGTAAACTGCGCCTCCGCGGTAGACGTCGGTTTGCGCAGTCTCGGCCGCTGGTGCACCCACCACCGCCCTGAAAGGAAATAACGAAATATCGGTGAAATAAACGGTAGAATGAATTGCAGAAATGCTTTAACATTCAGCCTTAACTTTAATATTAGTACGCTGAAAAAAGGATTTGGTAATAATTACCAGGATTTGGTTAAGTATAATAGTTTCAACTAAATTTGGTTACTGCGACCAAACAATTTAGTTGAGACTACTTAAACAAATCTTTACAGTTGTTACTAAATCCGTCCTTTAGTGTACCTGCGTATCAAGGTGTCCTGTAATTTTCAGTCTCACGTATCTATACGCACAGATACAAGACGTAAATTGAAAATCGTGCGTCAATCGGCAGAAATTACGCACATGCAGAATAATGAAATTATTAGTATTTCATAATCTTGTATGTTCCTGGACATGAACTGTATAAAACTGTCACAATAATGGATGACTGATTTGACACATATCGTTTCCGTTATTTTGAAAAATTTTGAAAAATCAATAAGTAAAACAATACCAGTAAATATTAATAAATAAAAGTCAAGAATAAATTCATAAACGTATCTAATAAGTACAGTTGAAAAATCCTGATAACCCACTTGCGTTGCGTATTGAGGCTATTTCGCCGATAGGTGTGCAATGTTACGATGTTAAGGCTTCATTGAAGCTTAGCGCGTGCACTAATGAAAGCATTGTGCTGTTAGCAGACACGCTGGATAAATGTCCGACCGCGATTTTTCTTCGATCGCGATTGCGAATTGTCTCTGATTGGTTTCGTCGAGAGCCGGCCGCCGAGATTATCGTTTATATCTCTCGACACGGCGCCGATAAGCGTGAGCATCGCGTATTTCCGAGATTGAGGTCAACGGTCGCGGGCTATTTCGATCTACCGGCGCAAGTTCCGGCAATAAGATCCGACTGTGATCCGGCTGGATGACTGGACGGATCGTGTGTAATCGGTGAGCAATCCTCGCGGTCAAAATCACAGGTAACGGCGGTGACGCATCGGTGCCGATCGATCGGCGTGACCGCGTCGTTTCGACTTCGAAACGCTTTTACGACCTACGCCCGAGCGGGTGGCGATAAAATATCACCGAGAGACACATTAAAGAAGCATTAATCGTGAGCGGGGGTTATGGAGCGGCAGATATTAACTCGTGACTCGTTTCCGGCGGAGAGCATAAGCTTCGCGATCGTTCGAAGAGCGCGTTACCGCGAGATACGCTTCCTCGCGATCTTACTCGTGTACTGGCTTTAAAAACGCAATTTTTATTACGCATAATTAATACCAATGACGGTGCGCTGCGCGTTATAAAAAAAAAAAAAGAGAGAGAGAAAGATGAAAGCGGTGAAATAACGAAGGTTCGACACCCTCAATTATCCCAACGATCGCGTGCCAAATTGGCCATTACCGTTATTAAACGGAAGGATCCGCCTGTTTTTTTTACGCGAATGCCTCTCCCATGAATTCGGTGTGCTCCGATATTAGAATAATTGGGAGCGGGTATTCGAGGCGTAATTTATTATCCACGAATAATTTATCCCGCGCGTGCGCGCGTGAGGAAGAAAGAGGGAGGGAGAAAGAGAGTCGATTCTCGATCACGCGGTCGAGAGATGGAAATAAAAGGCGCAATGTGACCGCGGGCATTACCAGCACGCTCGAACAATATGAAAATGGGATGGCAAGACAATCGATCGTGTAATTATATGCGAAGGGCGTGTCGGCCACAAAGCCCGAGAGTATCGGTATTGCCCTGACCTATCGGTGAGGCAATTAATTTCGTTTACGTCGGAGAATAACCGCTCGCGCTCAGAAGACGCTTTTTCCACGCTTGATATTCCACGGCCTAATTTCTCCTCCGGTCCGTGGGTGTACTTCTCCGTCCGAAATCTGATCCCCGGCTCCGTGGAATTTCACGTGTCCAACGTGTGAGCGATGTTTGGAAAACACACTTGTGCTTGACGGCGCCTTAGAAAACAGGTATCGTTCGTTATCGTTTAGTTCAAGGAAGAAAACGGAGGAAGAAAGCAAGCTTGGCTGTGAGGATTTTTCTGAGGTGAGATTATTGAAAATAAATCCTCGAGAATCTGAATTCGACGAAGACCCAGACTAGACTCAGTCTATAAAATCAGGCATTAAAGCGCGAGCGAGAGAAGAGCGAATGAGAACGCAGCTCGAAAGCGAAAGGATGAGAATAGTTATCCTAACTTTTGTATAAAACTGTTCGGATGAAAAATATTTGTCATAGAAAGGAATGACACGGAACAAAAATGCTACGGAAAGTTTACCGAGGAGGTAAAGGTCTTTTACAAAGAGGATTTTTTTCTTATTTTTTAGTTAATTTGTATCTCTCCGTAGAAGCGAATGTTCCGGATGCTATTAGCGAAAAAGCTCGGTGGGTCAATCGCGAAGTTACTTTCGTGATTGACGAGCGACGTCGCAACTTTCATCGCTCGATATTGTATCTAAGATTCCGTAATATCAGCTCGAGAAGAAAGGGATAAAAGCTCTTTCCATCTGCTCGACGGAAATTGTCCCGTCGACACATTTACGCGCATCGATAGTACGAGGTCACGTCGGTGTATCGCGTCGGTTTCGGTTGCGAGATGCCGCAACGTTACGTTAGAAGTGGACGCGTCGGTAATTTAATGCCACCGATAAGTGTGATCAAACTTAAAACACGCGCCGTGTTATCGCACGGAATGCGATATTATATTTTAAATCACTTTTACATCACCGGGCGACACGCTAATCCGATCGTTCGAGCGACAGCCGAACATGGAAAATCTGAATATAGGATTTCACCCCGATCTACTGACCTGTTTTCGTAATGCCGTTCATTCTCAGCCTATTAACGCGCGACCGTCAATGAACGATAACTTACATAAGCTATTGTTCCGCGACCAGTCGTTCTAATCAGCGTGCTGTGGAATTCAATAATCGATGTTTACACCGTTCTATATCGTGACTAATGATATCAGGCTTTCAACTACGCAGTAAAAAATTTTGTGTTAAATTTAACACACATTTCACATGTCCCGTACGATCCACTCAAATTTTCGTGTTAATTTAACACAAGGTGGAAAGTAACACAAATATTGTATCAAAAATTAATACATTAATCGACACTGAAGTATAAAATATGTTTTAACATTTGTACATTATATCAAATATCGTTGTTTATCATCTTTTGTCAACGTTCTGATAGCAGTATGCTTCTATCGTGGAAGGTGAGTTTACCATCGAAGGGAGAAAGCAGAAAATCGAACGGAACTTTTCGACTAATACAAAAACTTAACTGATGATTTAAATTACTAAAGATATAGCAAGTTGAGATATAACTTATGAGACATAACTATGTGTATCTTTTACCTCTTATTGACTCCTTATCGACTAAATACTTGATTTTTCAGACGCAATTAATTATACAACACAACTTGATGAGACGCGGCAATATTACAGTGTCGATTTCCGGCGACTATCACGGCATTCGACGTGTTAGTCTCAATTCAGTGACATTTGAGCCTATACCGTAATTTATGTTACTCGAGTATCGCATAGTACGCAACTGCTTGATCACTCATTCACCGTTAGCGGAGATCTCGGCAGAAGGCAGGTCGCACGTGTCGTGGATTTCCACGTCGAAACACGTGAAAATGCCATTATCTATAGAGCAACCTTGACACACATTGGCTTCTCGACTGTTGCAGAGCGTAGGTAAGCGCCACACGCACGAAAGCGCACACGTGGAAAGGAGCGAGCCGATCGCACCGCTTATGCAAGCGATTCATAAGCGCGGTACGGCCGACAACATCGCGCAGCACCGACGTCTCGACATCGCATACCGTAACATCGATAACGACAAACGAACGATAAACTAGTAGGAGTAAACTGGTAGGAGTTATTAGCGTCAATACACACATCGATTCGCGCGAGTAATCAAATAAAGATGAAGTGTCTCGCGCATCCCGCCGTTATTATACCGTAATTATCGCAACGCACACGTCATCGTAATTAATAATGAAATAATCGGGACGGGTTCTTCTTCTCTCTCGAGATCGAGATCCGAGATGGTACAACGTTAAATTGAATGAGCTTGCGCGAAGTAATGAGCGCGAGCTGATGTAATAATTACAGGCAGCAAATATATAATAATAGCGGATAGAAACGGACCGCGTAGGGCTCGTCTGCCTAGCGCAGCGCGCGGCTACAAGAAGCGCGGCAATAATTGCGACGGGCGAGGATACCGATGAGAAACACCGTGACTGGCGTGCGGCCCGTTTCTTTTAAGGGAATTGGACACGCACGAGCGTACGTATGTACGGATGCTTGAGTCCCCCGTTAAGAAACGAGCCCTAATTTCCGTCAACTCGTCCTTCAGCCGAACAGCTGATCGCGATTATCGCTCTCCGGACTCAACGGTCGCCAAATTGCATCGATAATTTTCCCTCGACAAAAACGACTTTTTCACCGTCCCGATTTCAATTGCGACGTAATGTTACAATTGTTACTTTCTTTGTCATTATCATTGCAGCCATGCGTATTATTTTTCACCTTATGTCTTTATAACGTAACGTTTAAACGAGAACCGGTGAAAATCTTTGGGAAAACGTTGGGGTGACCAGAATTTGCTTGTGTTTTCTATTCAGAATCGCATGTTGTAAACATTACACTTCTGACCAGAATCCATAATTACTTTGGGAAATCGAATTAGATCCTAATTAGATCGCAAGAAATTTTCTATGCGGAAACAAGTGCGCATTTATGACGATGACGCGCGACAGACCAGTGTCTCCGCGCTACTTCGACAGCGAACGTGGGTCGAACCTGACGAGATCTTAAGCTCGCCCACTCTGTTGCTCTCTCTCTCTCTCTCTTTCTCCCTGATTTTTTGTATTCGAGAGAGACTACAGTCACCGATACGCGACGGGTGCACGAGAACACGGGAGAATGCAAGGGCGAACCGGTCCCATGGGACACGCGCGTCGGCATCGTGAGGGATTCTCGCGACCGCGATTCGGGAATCC